TAACTAAATGTTATAGGTTGTTATTCCAGGCGTCAACATATAAATGCATTAGACTATTTTACGTTTTCCATTCATATTTTATATGTTTATATTTAAATCTTATTTAAAAATACATCACAATGGTGAGTTATTTGTCACAGAACCAAGTGTGAAAATATCAGGTGACACATACGATCAATTGAGCACTAGTTTTGTTTTATATTGATCAACAGCATGCCACAATCGATAAGTGTTGCATAAATTTGCGGCTCAAGATATCAAACAATTCTATCTTGATGGATTGTATTTCCTAACACAGATCCAATAATATATTACTTGTATTACGTCGTGAGTAGTAAGTACATAATTCTATTCTGATAAGCTGTAATGATCAAAGGCCAAACCCTTGAGATTCCGACAGTTCTCCTCGCTTCAGGAAGTATGTGTATACGACCCCAACCAACTCGCGGTATTAGTTCCGAAAACATGGCCTCCTAATGGTTGGTAAATACAAATCCCAGTGATGAATAAATAAATAAAATGCTTATATTTAAGAGTTACTGAATTTAGCAAATGTTAAAGTGTTCAGTATGTTTTCCACAGTTGAAAAGGTTCGACAATTGCGAGTAAATGTAAAGCTACCTCCAAAATTTGTCTCATTGACTACCAAACCCTAACACCTATATTCCTCAGAGATCAGTCTGTTTGTTGACAGTTTGTTCGACGTAACAAACTCTGTTTTGTGTATATGCTCCGACTCAACTAAAAGTTGAATTGAAACACCATGGATAATAACGAGTGTGTTAAATGTTGACCTTTCCAGGCCCAATCTTGAGTACGAGAATTATTGTGTGGGGTTGATTTGCTGAGACTAGAAATACTGAATACAGAATTAAAAACACGGATAGCTTCAAGTGCGAAATAGCACGAAGGCTTCATAATTTGAACTAACTCGCGGGGTGAATGGAGCACTCGTTTCCATGGAAACTGTATTAATTTGTATAACTACAAGATCAATCGTAAGGTTGTGCAGAAGATTTGTGTGCAAATTCCTGAAGGTAGTGGACAATTTAGAATTGTGTTCGAGGGCAGAGGGCATTGTAAAACTTTAGTAGGAGTGAAGTACCTTTTTAAAATACAGTCAGACTAAAAACTCCTGTGTGACGATAAAATAGTACTGACACTAAACATATGTGGAATCTCAACGAGGAGGAAAGCAGGTGTACAATGTAACGGGATTTCTTAGTTTAACAAATTAAACATCACCAATATGACGCTATTTTTAATACAATGTCACTGTCGATTATTTTAATATTTAAAATGCTGAACGAGACGCAAGAGTGAAACAATTCAGAGCACGCAGTCTGACAGGATGAAACGCGTTGATTGACACGCCTCTGTTGGTGCCTATATGAGCCGCAATGGGACGAATGAAAGCAGTGAAAAGAAGATGATATTGATATCTATTTTAAAATGAATGTTATCGTCAAAGCGTGTTTAAATAACGACTGATTGCTAGTAATAAATATACACTCAAATACAACGAAACATTTGTTTGTGTTAAAATTTTTTCTTTGACTATTTTAAAAATATAAATGGCGATGTTATAAAGGCGTGAAGTTTTATCCGCCCTATGTAACAACTACAGTGGAGTGTTGTTTAACACAACATTTCCTAGTGTTAGTGTCATGGGTACCATATTGTTCAAAATCTGTATTCATATGCCAACGAGACATTCGAAAACAGGGAGGGATTATTTTTCACGGAAAGACCATTATTGTAAACATGACTTGTCCAGTTACTAGTACTTCGCAGAAGAAAACTGAAGAATAAACAAAACTATTAATTAAAGTGAGCAGGTGGCAGAAACACGGCAATGACAGTTTTGTTGACAGTGACGACGTTCATTCACCGTGAATAATTATAAGTTAATTATCAGCAAACGCCATATGATTATACATATTTTAATTTCCGGCATTCGAAAAGACCATTCACCCATGCATATATATGTGCTTGTAATAATATAGGTCGTATAAAATATTGGCATTTTCCTTTAATAAACGAACGGCTGATGACTCATAAAATGACTTAGAAATGGTACAAAAACGAGAATTCGAAACAAGAACGGGGAATTATAACATCTTATAACAATCTTAGAAACTACGATGGGATCTTTCAACAACCACTTCCCAAAAATAAATACTGACACCATTTAGTCAGACTATTTATTACATGATATCGAGTACTAATGGTGAAACTATCATAATCACCTTACTTTGTGATCAAGAATATGATATAAACAAAACGGCAACAACAATATCACATAAAATACCATCTACGTGAGAAACAAAACAGATATAATATTATGTATTCGATGGAAACTATATATATACTACATATACACTAACCAACGATTATTTAAACATTTATTCCTAAACCAGAGAGTATATACGTAAAGACATACATACATATTCATGATAATCTCTCCACATGAGTATATATTTTTGATAACTTGTTCTATAACCATCACCTCATTTCATCAAACTGAAATGTATGTCAAACATACTTGGATGACTAAACCGTAACTTATGCCACCCTTATTATGGTTTCCGTAATTATACCTAAGGGAATTTCAAACGATGTATCGTATGTTGCAAGAATACTAAATCATCCAATTTGAAGGAAGCATCAATTTCACCTGAGGTTACCGATGTGTTCCCTGATTATAATGTGTGTCCTGTTGAGCAAACATCTACTTACTTCTAATCTGTTGACAAAATGACGCCATGTGGAGTAATGACTACTATTCATTGGAATCCTAATCGATAATCAGAAACATAGTAGTAAAATGTTTTAAATTCTGGGCGTTATTTTTGTCTTTAATTACTTTGCTAATTAATTTAATATTATAGATCGATGAGCATGCGGGATCGATATTTATTAAAATTCTACACGACTTGTTCTCACGGGAATGCACCACTATTTGGATTAGGCTAGTTAAATGTTCATTGGTATGTGACATGATTAAGTAATTAGACGCAGAGGCGATACTTTGAGTTGTGGTATAACGCACAACTTTTTAATAACGATATGAACCCCCGAAAAAATGAAAATCCATTTTAACCTGACTAACTCAATAAAATATATGTCATGTAGAACACTCACTATTTACTTCCAAACATAATGATGAAAATGGGTGTTCCTACCCTGTGTACTGACAGAAATCGTTTAGATTGAAGAGCAACACAGACGTAACAAATAGTTATCACATTCGCTGGTTCGGATGAACATGTTTAATCCAATTTCACATCGCTTCTACTTTGAATTAGTTATATAGATATTCTCCACTCAAGTGAAAAACCGTTTAACTTCCTCTCCTTCTTCATCTTTTAAAATATTTGATAAAGCATGGTTTCATACATACTGTGAGCATTATAAAGGTAATAGATGGGGATTGCAATTGCATTTGCTCTTCTCTAGCAATGATAAATTTACCTTGCACAAATCTTTATATCGGTTCTCTAGCCTAGTTGATTTCACGCACTAGTCAACACGTTCAGAACAAATTGAAAGAGATTCAGGGTCACGGAGTTGGTCAATAGGTTTAAGAAATTATGTTGTGTATGATCATGGTGAACAATACAGAAGTACGTGCACCAAATTATCGAAATATTGAAGAAGCTATAGATTCATTCCGCTATGGGCATTTACCTAAATAACTTGATTACGTATTCACGACATCACATGAACGTACGTGAAATGCAATGGCAACCGTATTAACTCATTTTCAGTTTGACGAATTCCGGTTAATCAATCAAATTGTGCAATTAATCTTGACAAGAAGTTGCACGGCGGGTAACAGCGGCACTTTCCTTACGCCTACGTCAAGTTTCTGCTTGTTAAGAAGTGGCTTATTGCTCATATCTGTCTGTCCCTGGGCGGCATAAGTACAACATAATCACATCACCATTGCTGCTTATGTGAATTGTTTTCACGCTGGAAAACTGCAATCACATACGCCACCTTTGATGTGTTCTATTTGACATTGATGGCACATACGTGAATTTGTGAATGCAGTTTGCGTTCACTGTTAGTAGAAAGCAGTACATTGTCTTTCTTGTCTGCAATCGACTTCTTTTTATTGTCAATTGAATCAGCACGGGCAATTTTTTTAAAACGTTTCAAGAATTGACTTGGTCAAACATTATCACATGATACTTCAGCTGTATCATCGAAACAAGACTGTGTAGTTTAATCGGATACCTTATTTTTTATATTTTTCCAATACTGTATCACTATAGTCCCTGTAAACGACATCTATATACAATTTAATTTCCGACGCATAGTATCGTGTTTCCGTAAGCTCTAACCTAATTATGTTAAGTGAGTTCCAAATCATCGGAACTGTTTTTGTTTGTGCTTAACGTTAGCAAATCGCGTTAATGAAGGTTATACAACGTCAGTTGTCATATCTATTGCCAAGCTGTTCGTAGTATAAACAACTAGTATGGCATAACAAATATTTTCAAATATTGATAAACGACTCAATATATATCATTTGATATAATATCGTTTTAGATTATATTTTATAGTTGATTATCATCCTCAGAGGCGAACAGTATATAAATTACGATAAGTCACTAACAGATGTCATGACAAGTCAGCTTGATAATGAGGTGTTACACGGATCAGAAGACACAAAATATGACACTCGTATATTAAACGCAATAAAGCTATCGGGAATTAATGCAGATGTAGGGATGGAAACCGTTATTGTTAATACATGTGCGGACAGGCAAGTGTATTATGAAAAGCGACAAGCATAGTTAATATGTACTAATCAGAAAAGGCTGCCCATGTCCAAACTGATGAAGCTACTGCATTTTGATTTAAAACAATATCGATGTAATATTTTGTTCTAAGGAATGCATGGCATAATATTTCGTTGATAAATAAGTACTATGTGTGTGACACAGGTACTTGTGGAGGGATTACACAAAGCTGGCAAATTTTGTACTGTGTTACTGAGTTCCTACCTGCTGCATAAATATGAGCACGGGACACATAACACGTCCAAACACCCATTCTCCTAACATTATCGTGGGGAATGTGAACGGCATACAGAAAACAGCCATCATCAGATCAGCAACGGAGAGGTTCACAAGAAATGGATTCAGATCTGATCTGGTTGATTTCCTCCAGATGAGGACAATAAGCACCAGCACGTTGCCAACAATCGACAGAAGCATATTTAACGTGAATGCACTTATGAAGAGAATTTGACATTCCATCGGCAAGGACATGTCCAGGTAGTCGAAAGTGATATTTGTGGTGTTAGGGTCCACATACTCGTATGTGTAGTCCAATCCGCACCACGGCATGGTTGTCTTATGTCTGAGTCGCTGTCACACGTTGACGGGTGCGCTGTTATGCATGACAATACAACTTCTGGCTTGGTGAGTTTTATAGCTGATCTGACGTCATGTGTTTCCATGACAACATACCGCTTCTTCTTCCTGTGCACGACACATTGTTGGCAATGGAAATGAATAGGGACATTATATACTGTGGAACCGTATATTGTCCAGTATTGAAAGTATTTTCGATGTGTCTAAAAAATCACACGTATGTATCTATTTTCCTATTTCATAAAATCAACAATTATTGAGGTGTTCCAGATTTTTATTTGAAGGTTTACTGTCAAGATAATTTCGTTGAATTGTTGAATAAATATTAATTTTCATAAATCCTTTCATTCTTGCATGTATACGTTATTTTACACAGTTCGGTACTGAGTGCTTCTTTTTACTAGTCCATTGATATCGAGTAACGAATACGAATCGATTAACTTCACAGATCACATGAGCTGATGGCGTATCAAAATATTAAACCTAATTCGTTATTTTGCAATGCAAGGAGTCCAGGGTAAGATGAGGAAATCAGGATTTCTGCTTTCAACTTAATATACAATTGTATATACCATCATTTATTACATGTTATTTTAGGGTTAACGAGGTTAATATTCACACCATAATGCATTTCCTGTAGGGTATCATATTGAATTAGGACGTGACCATATGCTAGTAGAACATCTGACAGAAATTGAAATCGGAAATAAGAATAACATCTTTGATGAAATTAGAGTAATTTAAGAAAGTCGCTGTGCATTCATCCTTCACGTGGTGAAGGGATGACAAATATAATAACACTGACAGGATCGTACTTCAACGGCATCCGCGCTGTGTACAATCTTCGAAATCTTATAATTACAGCTGACAAAAACAAATCATCAAATTTGATGATGATGGAAATGTAATTGGGAATAATCAAAGACGCTGGACAACATAAGTTTATGAACTTAAAGGGTCGTGGTCGTCGCGCAGCGCGTGTTCGAATTTCATGTAAACAATGTATTATACACGCGTTGTATATGTCGCTAAGTGTCATATCGAACACGACCACCGCCCTTCAAAATTAAACTTACTACTATGACAAATGGGATTAAGGAAGTTTGTATGGAGACGCAATTTTATGTGGTATGAAAAAAATCCAAGAAATCGTTACCAACATCATTCTTTGATAGTTGCCGTAGTCTTCTACGCCATCTTTAATTTGTTACTTGTTGTGTTTATGACAAATTGTATGCATGATGTTTACACAATATTGCATTATTATGTCAATATTGAATATTCTTTTATATTATATTATGTATGCTTAGTTTATGTTTTGCGATATTGTTGATTTGTTGTGTTGACTTCCCCGTAAATACAGTGCTAATATTTTTAGAATGGCAAGGGAAATAAGTGTATGAGATAAAGTTATTTGATACACACGTTATATTCCACGATCGTGAATTTAATACCAGAATACAACAAAAATCGTGATAATTCTGAAAACATAATTCATATATTAGTAACCATTAAGAGAAAATACTCTCCCAAGGGCTGTCACATACTGCTACAGACGTTTACAAAATATATGAACAATTAGGGAATTTCCAATTCCAAAAACACAATCAATCAGTACATCACATCACATAGTGATCAATCATAAATCATGGTATACATGAAATGAGTCAGGTGTTTCAAAAAGCGAGCATAATCTGTTCCCAATGCAGTAGCCGTCATATATAATGTGTTCTAATCAAATAGTTAGTGTCAGAAACCTGATGTCTACTAACTAACAAGTGCCATTGATGTTATCTGAAATTATATGTGTCTTACTATTGCCACAAGCTCATTAAAAAACACAATTTTCAAATTAAGCCTACTCATTCTCAATGAAATAAATTGGTTTTGACGACATTAAAGAATACTAGTACACAGTAAATCTTGGGAGAAGTTTCATGTTTTTCATTAAAACTGTTTTAATTGAAAATGCATTTTTGAAATTAAAAACATGTGTAATATATATTATCAAAAACAGTAGTGTTTTAGTATTTCGGGGGTGCTTGTCGGAGTAATTAAAACACCTTTTGGTTTGAAAACATTTAAAAACATATAATAAAACAAAATAAAAAAGTGTTTTACGGAGATATAGATGTGTCATTTAAGTGTTTATTAATGGGATATGTATGGATTAATGCATACAGCATTATGCAAGTAGTATTAACACAATTGTGTGGAAAGAAATTAAACTATAGTCTGGTACAGAACTCTAACTTGGGACTTGGGAAGTATATATTATGGTATATATGCCATTGACCAAACTAGACGACCACTGAAGGTGACGTAATTTAACGACATTACCTTCAGGAAATAGTTGTATGGTATCAATCCTATCTAAGCATTCTAGCATGTGATTTAAGCAGATTTCTGTTTAATTTGAAACACCGTGACGTCAGATAGCAAATTCACCAACAATGTTTCAACTTTATACACCAGACTATAAATGTGTTACAACAAAGCGCTGACATATAAGACACATTTAAGTTTTTAAGAGTAAATAAATCTTGCAACACACCTGTGCGAATTTACGTATATTCAAAACGAGCCTCTCTAAGTCTCTAATAATACTTAACCATTTCACGGTTATTTAGAAATGTCACAAATACAATACAATATGAACAATAATTAAGGTTGTTCATTCAACGATTGAATTATACTATCGTGAGTATGTGGACAAGTGGTATATTTGGCAAAGAAGCAACAACTTGGACAGAAAGCCTTTTAGATTGTCTGAAAAAAGAAAGGACTTTCAAATTCTAATTTCATGTGTTCATTGGTAAGGAATTTAATAATATAGATACATTTAGCGCAGAATAATCTAAGTGTAGATATGTGAGAAAAACGCTGCTTGTATGTCTGCGCTGTGCTTTCTAGTGTCAGTAATTACTCTATGGGAATGTGATTGGAATAGAAAATGCGTATCGCAAAATGTATCAACACAGTGTCTGTGCTACTACTTTCCTGGATTACTTACATTATCGTCATTAAAAACTACAATTATGGTATACGAGTCTTTTCGGAATTTCGATTGAATCGATGTAGCCAGAATGATTTTTGTGTTGACTCTGCTGTGGTGTCATTCTGCCATTCTAAATATACCGATAAGCAGTGATTACATATAGAGCCAGTAAAACACGTGTATTATGATCGACAAACAAGTGAACGTAATGTTTATAGTAGAATATTGAACATACATCAAGAACTCCTTTGATCCTACACATTCATAAACGTCAAGTATTTAAATTGAGATGTTTACAATCATCAAACCATGTATTGCTATTTGGTTGCGTGTATTTTCTATATTTGTTCGCTTAAAGTTGTGTTCACGATAGACTTGCTTTATTAGATTTTGTTGAAATTAATTATAACAGTAATTTATCAAGTTTCAGGGTTTGTTTCGCCCAAAGCTTTGCAGTGAATTGCAGTGAAGCGAAGCGCAATAAACACGATAACACATTTAATAACACGCACGCGATACAACGTTCTAACAATCCAGTCACGTATAGCTTTCACTTTGTGCAACAATGTGTCGCCTAAATATACTATGTGAATGTATTATAAATCAAGGACAGAAAAAAAAAAAAAACGTATTTGCTATATGATTTAAACGGAAGTGAATATGTTTGTTAAATTGAATATCATGGCTACATATGCATGATAAAATCACATCTAAAATAGACACCATATAAAGCTAGGTTTATAGATGCATCGTTTACATGTCCAACAATGAAGTTGTCTAATACATGAACAAATGTGGTAATTAATATTAGCTTTACTATGATGTTCTTGGGCGCAGTAGAATTAAAATGTGGATACTGAACAATTCCAACAAAACTCTTTCAACAAAATTGAAACTATAATTAACATTCGATTTTCCCACCATGTGTACCACGTAATACACTTTGTTAAGTTTGGCAACGCATTAGAAACATTATTCACAAAAAAAGTCGCATTCTTAACTTTGATTTATTGAATATGTGCTTTCTATCAACAAACCTTAATTCTGTGAATATATTCTAATAATCCAACTGAATTTGAGATTAAGGAGACTACAAAATCATGTTATGGTGTCAAAACAAGGCCTGTTTTCTGAGTACAGAAACATGAACATTTTATGCATATGAGCAGATGTTATGGACATGACTATGCGCATTACATAATGAATGTGAGAAGACATTATTTGTGTTACTTACTAGGGATATATGTTCTAATGGCCACGATATATGTGTAAAATGAAGTGTTACTATATTGTATTTTATCGGTCCTGGTTCATCTTGACGTTAAAATCGATAACAACAAATCAGACAAGGCACTACACACGAATCATGAATAGACTTAAAACATTCTTTAACGATCGGCTGAATGTGTCGTCAGTATATTTCAGTGTAGAACGATAGGCTATTCGCCAACCAGCACACCAGTCGGAATTTGGGCGTAAAATCAAGCAATAATAAAAAAAATCGCGATATCGCCAAGAAATCAATTTCTATATCAGAATAACAGTAATGAACTCCCACCAGTATTATGTTGGATTCAGACTCCAAATCCCACATGGCTCTGCGGGTTGTTGATTAATATTATATTGATAACTACACATATGTGATGTGCCAAGTCATCCATCTATCAATTTATGGCGTACTAATGAATCATTGTGACAACATTCGTATTCCTAATAATTATATTTTACAATATCAGGGTCGATATAATAATTGTAATAAATGGATGGTTACATTTTCACCGGTTAACTGTTCATATCAATTCGACTAGTTAGTATGCTTCGCCATATTTTTTGCAAGACGTCTAATCTGTGCCTCAGATAAATTTCATTGACCATTACACTGGTGTGACACTCGCGTTACATGTTGCCATTCCTGGATCATCAACAGCCATTGCAGGTCATGATTTTATTAATGTGTCTTTTTAAGAAGGAAAAA